GGGTTGATTCTTGGATGTGACATAACCCCAGTAATGTTATTCTTTCTTTCGTCCGTTCTTTTTCGGGACTAATCAGATAGTGTAAGATAAGTTTGGAGTTCGGGTCGGTGCAGTTGCCGAGGTCACAGTGCTGGCTTGGAGATGCAGGCTATCTCAATGACATCGTTACAGTTGGGTCTGAATGTTAGAAGACAGACAGACAAAAAGACAGATTGGCAGAAAGACATGTAAGCAGACAAATAGATTGATAGACTGACAGGTAGAAAGATAGAAAAAGAGGGGGAGGAAGAGAGAGAGAGGAGAACAGCGAAATGTCTTGTTGGAAATCCTCTTTACTAGATCCCTTGAGTGAATGCGTTCATGTGTGGTCGACTGGGGTTGATTCTTGGATGTGACATAACCCCAGTATGTTATTCTTTCTTTCGTCCGTTCTTTTTCGGGACTAATCAGATAGTGTAAGATAAGTTTGGAGTTCGGGTCGGTGCAGTTGCCGAGGTCACAGTGCTGGCTTGGAGATGCAGGCTATCTCAATGACATCGTTACATTTGGGTCTGAATGTTAGGAGACAGACAGAGACAGATTGGCAGAAAGACGTGTAGGCAGACAAATAGATTGATAGACTGACAGGTAGAAAGATAGAAAAATAGGGGGAGGAAGAGAGAGAGAGAGAGAGAGAGAGAGAGAGAGAGAGAGAGAGAGAGAGAGAGAGAGAGAGAGAGAGAGAGAGAGAGAGAGAGAGAGAGAGGTCTAGACACAGACAACAAGGACAGATACAAATAGAACTTACTAAAGATTTAGAAAACCGGAATATCTTTCATTACCACCATCTCTGCAGACAACGCCACGTTCACTTAATAACTTCACGTACACTGTACAACCTTAATTCACAGTGTACATGCTTCCACGGATCCAGACAGTTGTTGTTATCAGACAGTCCTGCTGTTCTTGCTCTGCGCATAACATAAAGCACATGTTGGTTAATCCCGAACTCGAGCTGAAGGCCAACTACCCGGGGAGGCAGGGGTCATTGTGTACAGACAGCCACTTGTCCTTTTTTTTAAACTCTCGACCTGTTTTGTTTACGGTTTGGATTTTTTTTTCTATTTACAAGCAATGCAGTCTTCGTTGCAGTTCAGTTTGAAGCTTGTCGGATGCTGTGATGTGTTAAATGTGATTTTGATTGGAGTTTGTTAGATGCATCTGCGATGATTGTGCGTTCTACTGGAGTCCGAATTTCCCAATCTCTCTCTCTCTCTCTCTCTTTCAGAGTACATCGCAGTTGTAACCCCACTGATCGTCGTGGCCGTGGCTGGGATTTCTGTTGTGCTTTTATTTATTCTTTTATTTATTATTGTATTATTTACATGCTTTATGTATTATTATTTTTGTATTTTCTTGGTTATTTTTCACGCATGGATAAACCTGTATACTAGTATATTTATTACGCACGGACTTAGGTACAAACTGACGCGCACGCGCGCGTACACACACAAGCACACGCACGCACACACGTGTGCACGCGCGCACACACACACACAGACACACACACACACACACACACACACACACACACACACACACACACACACACACACACACACACACACACACACACACACACACACACACACACACACACACACATTGCCTACACACTGAAACCGAATGACACCTTTCCCTCGCTTTGCAGTCCCTGGACGCCCTGACTGACGCAGCGGTGCCCGAGAACATCCGACTCGGGAGGGACCTGAATGTGCAGAACCCGATCGGCGAGCACGCGCTACTCAGCAGGATCAGGGAAATCTCGGAGAAGAATGAAATCTGGAGGTCCTACATCGGCATGGGCTACCACAACTGCCGCGTCCCCCACGCCATCCTCAGGAACATCTTCGAGAATCCGGGATGGTAATAAGAGCCTTGTTTGGGACTTTTTTTTTTTTTTTTTTTGCTGTTCGAGTGAATAGTACCTGTGGTATGGTGGTGATGGTGATGAGGATGGAGATGATGATAAAGATGTAATAATAAGAAATGATGAAGATGTAATAATAAGAAATGATGAAGATGTAATAATAAGAAATGATAAAGATGTAATAATAAGAAATGATAAAGATGTAATAATAAGAAATTATAAAGATGTAATAATAAGAAATGATAAAGATGTAATAATAAGAAATGATGATAATGATAATAGTAATTAATGATAATAATGGTTAAGTTAAAAATGAAAATGATAATGTTAATGCCAACAATAATAACATTAACAGAGATAATGATAATAATAATAATAACCCGAGCATTATTGTGAAAGACTGCTGATCGAATTTATTAGTAATGAATTTCCTACCTGCAGGACAACACAGTACACGCCGTACCAACCGGAAGTGGCCCAGGGTCGCCTCGAATCCCTCCTGAACTACCAGACGATGGTGACTGACCTGACTGGCCTGCCGGTGGCTAACGCTTCCCTGCTTGACGAAGGCACAGCAGCTGCAGAGGCTGTTGGGTTGGCGTACAGGTAAAGGAGGGGGTGATTTCTGATTTTAGTTAACGTTTAGATGGGTTTATGATTCTGAATGTGAGCCATTTATGTATGGGTTATATAAAATGCATAACATTTTTCTTAGCTGATATGTTACATCTCGTTTGGGATATTTTTTCAACGATGTCGTTTATTAATACTCTAGGCAGAACAAACGGCGAAAAGTGTACCTGTCAGACAAGCTTCACCCGCAGACGCTCGCCGTGGTTCGAACCCGCGCCATTCCCCTTGGCCTTGAAGTCCTCATTGGCGATGTATTTGATATCGACTTCACCAATCGCGATGTCAGTGCGGTGCTTTTCCAGTATCCGGACACTGAAGGAACCGTCAATGACTTCACACAAGTTATTGAGAATGCGCAGAGCAATGGAGTAAGTCACGTTCGTCATTTTGTTTTTCTTCTCATGACTCCTGATTGATTACTATTTGCCTGGGCTGTCTTTTGGTGTTCAATCATGTTTTTTTTTTGGGGGGGGGTTGGGTCATTGTGGATTCAGAAGTCAGTGCAATGTACATACGTCAGGCCTGATGAAACCTTTCACTAAAACAAAGAAAGAAAGAACATCACAAAAACAAAGAAAGAAAGAACAAAGAAAAAAAACATATACAATAAAAAATATTCTTAAAAAATACGTTTTTGAAGTTCTCCTCATTATGGCAAAGGAGACTTAGACATCATGCCGTAACAAACCAGGAACCCCATCGAATGCCCACCATCCCCACAGACCATGGTCGTGTGCGCGACGGACCTCTTGGCTCTCACGGTGCTCGCTCCCCCCGGCGACCTCGGTGTGGACATCGCCGTCGGGACTTCGCAGAGACTCGGAGTTCCTCTGGGCTACGGAGGTCCTCACGCCGGCTTCTTCGCCTGCAAGAACAATCTCGTGAGGCTCATGCCCGGGAGAATGATCGGTGTGACAAGGCAAGTATTATTATTTATTTATTTTAAGATATGTTTAGATGCCAGGAAAGTGATCTGTGTGACAGAGCAAGTGGAGTTTTTGATGGAAGGTCCTGTCTGTCAAAATGTTGATATATATATATATATATATATATATATATATATATATATATATATATATATATATATATATATATATATATATATGAGATATTGATATGCTGTGTATGTGGAATTTGTCAGATAAGTTAATAGATCAATAGGTGGTGGATGTGGAAAGGTAGACATATTGATAAATAGGTCAATAAACAGGAAAAAAAATATTAGGTTATTAGGTGTAGGTGGAAAGATTTAGTGAATATTATGTACATATATCAGCAATAGATACACATGAATAAGCTAGACGGGTGGGTATATAAAATGACAGCTTAATAGAGGTTGTGTGTGTGTGTGTGGGGGGGGGGTAGATTCATAGATTTTGATATGGAGAAACGACAGGTCTAGGGGTGCAAATACTAATTATTCATTGGGATAGTAAAGTTTTGTCATAACAATTAATCTTTAACAATCTATAATGGGGTTATTTTATAGTTTAGATTAAAAATCCTAAATCTTTGAAGAGATCCTCATATTGCTTTAAAATGTTTAAGTGAACTTCAAATCATGAACTTTTAAACAAAGCTTCGGTGGGTGACTTAAGGGGAGGAACAGTTCCAACCAAAGAGTATATCTGGTTGTTTAGATGAATAGTCTTTTTTTTTTTTTTTTTTTTTTTTATATCTTGGAGGAGAATGTCCCCTACAGAAAATTTAAAAGTAGATGCAAATTTATATATGAATAAAACATGAATCTGTCAGGTCAATCTTATGGTCTGAGTGTATTTTATAAAGATGTAGTTGATGTGAAATGAAAATACAGAAATATCATATTTTTAGGCCTGTGAAACCTATTTTTCAGTCAACCCCAATGATTTTGGAAAAAGGAGCCTTTCAGTGCCTGTCTCTTGTACCCCAAAATATGATTCAGTTCCCTCTTCTTCCAAGTTCACCACTCAGTAATGTATTTTTGATTGCCTGTTTCAACCCCTATGTGAAACCTTTTTCATTATGAATTGGGTGGAAGTGTTTCAAACAGGCAGTTCATACATTGACAGTGTTGATTGGAAACCTAGGGAACTGCAATGTTTAAGCTACAAAACCTGAAACAAATTGAAATGATAATGAATTAGCATATTCATTCCACTTAACCCCTACATAGCCTGCTAAAGATGTAAAGAAGAAGTATTGCAGATGGAATGGAGGTAATACCATATCCTGAATGCTTATATTTCCTCCAATTTTGATCTACATTTAACTAGGAATTTTAGTAGCATGTTTATAAAGTTTTGGAAAAAATATTACAGTGAGCATGCATTGTATTTCCTTTGTTTAAACTCCAGTGATTCTGATTGTTGGAAATTTGTTCTGATGTTATTTTAAATTGAGGTCATGTTAAGCTTTTATTTAGGAATTTATTATTCCTAATAGAGACTATATATGTAGTGAAGTTCATTTTATTTCTTATGCTTGTTCTTTTCTGATAGAGTAAGTGTAACATACATACATAAATTATTCCCATACAATCTAATTTGTCATGACTGTAGGTATCTGCTGAAACTTTAACTTGTTAGCTGGACATGCAACTTGGTGGAGATTTGTTTCACAGATTTAAGTTTTGCTTGTGATAATTTAAACTTAATTCAGTTATTGTAACATGAATATTGAGATGTATTTTTTTTTTCAAATACCAACAAAACAAAGTTTTTATATCATAAACCTATTCTTTAAGTTGCATTCTTGGTAAAGTGAAATGACTTGATCTGATACCACTCCCAGAGTCGTGTTTCATAAACATGTCTATATTATTCCCATATATCTAGCATGGAATTTATCCTTAAGAGTATTTTCTTTTCATGGTTCTTTATTGCTTTAATCCAGTGGTAAAATAAAGCATGAAATTGATTGTGTAACTTGCTTTTTTAGGGATGCAAATGGGAAGGATTCATACCGTCTTGCTCTCCAAACGCGAGAGCAACACATTCGTCGTGACAAAGCCACCAGCAACATCTGCACAGCTCAGGCACTGCTTGCAAACATGTCAGCAATGTTTGCAGTTTACCATGGACCAAAAGGGTTAAAAGATATTGCTAATCGCATTCACAACGCAACAATCATTCTGTCAAGGGGCCTTCAGTCAGCTGGCCATATAATTGAGAATGATATCTTCTTTGACACTATTAGGGTACGCTCTTTTGCTTGCATATGTTTATATGGAAGATTACCAGTATTTCAAAATTCATTGTTTTGTCTCTTTTTGTCATTAATCTTTTTTCTTTTATGAATATTTTTTTTTTCTGTTTTCATTTTTAGAGTGGTTAATGCTAAGTATTTTTTGTTTGACATTGATATTATAAATTTAAGTGCAAGTCCTTATAATTAGCTGTTGTTCTTATTTGCTCAGGTTAATCCGACTTTGGCAACTAGTGAGATCAGAATGAGAGCTCAACAGAAAGAAATTAACCTTCGTTACTTCAGAGATGAGACGGTTGGTATCAAATAGTCTATAATGATTTTGATTTTGGAGAAGGAGTGGATATCAGAATTTAATTTCTTAGACATTAGAAGAGGAAAGATCTGAAATTAAGAAGAAATAGAGAAAATATTCAAATGTTACTTTCATTATTGATTTTTAAGAATGTTAAGGATGGCTAATAAATGTATCATCAATGCTTAACAGGTTGGAATAGCCCTTGATGAGACAGTAGAGAAGGCGGACTTGGACGATTTGTTCTGGGTGTTCAACTGCAAGAACGTCACTGCAGACAAGGTATGGAATTCTTGGATGAACTCATAATAAACACCTTTGCCATTCTGTGCCTAATGCTTTACAGCTTTGCATGAGTTGTGATGTGATAGTTCTGATGTGCCTTGCTCTAAAAAAACATCTGATGTATTTTCCTGTGTGTTATGTCAAATGTAAAGCAAAAGAAATTGGACCAGTTTAACATTGAACAAAAGTACTAGATGGAATGAAAATTGTTATAGTTATATTTCATTTATATATTAATTGTTTTAAGTAGATGTTTTACTTGCTTGTGACTTTTTTATTTATAAATATTTTTGATGATGGCTTTTACAGTATAGTAAGATGACATGGGTATGTATATCACTGTGAAAAGAGAAAGAAATAACAGCAAAAAAATCATTGATATATTGTATTCCAAAAATGGAAATATTTAAGTTAGAAAATACAGACTTGTTGTTTATCTAAAAGTAAAACTTATATAAGAATGTAGGTCTTAAATGCAAATTGCAGATGCTATTCATATAGATTACTCAATATTTTTTTCTTTGCCTTTCATAGTTTCAGTCATACCTTTTTAAACCTTTATATAGAAGGTTGTGTATGGTTGATTAACCTTTTTTATTCATTAATTAATTTCTATATTCTATTGTTGTTCTTTTTAATGTATTTTCCTTCTTGGTCTTTTTTTTCTCAGTGCATCAATATGAAAATCTATTTCCATAGTGACCAAAAGATTGCTTGCCACTGTGGTGAGAAAATGGGATTTATTTAAGTGATATTTACCATTTGCTAAAGATCTTTAGTAAGTGTTTATTTAACCAGCTTTTTTTTTTTTTAGGTAGGGTATATTGTCAATATTCCATGCATTTCTCTCTTTTGCCTTGAAGAGTAGAGTCAAAAATATCTTTGAAATGCTGAATGGGTACTGAATTAGGTATTGTATTTATTTGTAATTGACAAGTTCATGAATTTTCAGAATAGGTAATCGTTGTTTGCCAAATTGATGCAATATTTGCAGTTAAAGATTTGTACTTTAGCTCGAGAGAGAAAAGATTTTTTACTCAAACTTCTGGTGTAGACCTATATACGGGTGGGTTAGGATTTTCTTTTAAAGTTACATTTATTCAATTTTCTTTCTGTGTTCTCCTTCTCTATCTCCATACTCCTTCTTCTTCTTCTTCTTCTTCTTCTTCTTCTTCTTCTACTCCCTCCTCTTTGCTCCTCCTCCTCTGCCTCCCTCCTCCTATTTTTCCTCCTCCTCCTCCTCCTCCTCTCCCCCCCTCCCCCCCCCTCCTCCTCCTCCTCCCTCCTCCTCCTCCTCCTCCTCCTCCTCCTCCTCCTCCTCCTCCTCCTCCTCCTCCTCCTCCCAATCATCATCATCATAAATATCCCCCATTTATATAATATATATTTATTTTCTGACTTTTCAGCATGTTCTGCATTTTTGGTGGAAGGTTTTTCATGAATCTTATATATATCACTTTTTCAACTTTGTCAGTTCTGTCACTCTTCTGTCTCCTCCATTTTGTAGTTATTTATAAATTCTGACTTTTTTTGGGAGAAATTTAGAAAGCACAAGAAGTTGGTCTCACATTTATGTCAGGTCATAGGCACTAAAAATATAACAGACGCCAGCTCTGTGCTGAGAACCACTGAGCGTTGATACATTTGTTTATCTTATTGCTTCCAGGTGGCAGTTCCTTTCTCTAATTGCTAATTGCAGGTCGCTAGCAATCTCAGCGGTGCTGCTCTGCCCAAGGAACACATCTCCAACACAAGCTTTGCTCGCAAGTCGGACTTCCTCACCCACAGCATATTCAACACATATCATTCTGAGGCCCAGCTGGTGCGCTACATGAAGATCCTGGAGAATAAGGATGTTTCTCTTGTACATTCCATGATCCCCCTAGTGAGTATTTTTTGCATTATGTTTAATGTGTGATTATTATATCAGTGGTTATGTCATGGGGTCATTTGATTTATTTAACAATAACACTTATGTGTATTTTTTTTCTCACCTTTCTCCTCGTAGGGCTCTTGTACGATGAAGCTAAACAGCACAACAGAGATGATGCCATGTAGCTTCCCACACTTCACAGAAATCCATCCATTTGTCCCACCAGAGCAAGCACTTGGTTATCGGCTTCTGTTTGAGGAGCTTGAACATGACCTTTGTGAGATCACGGGTTATGACAAAATTTCATTCCAGCCAAACAGGTTCGTGTAGTTTCCATTCAAAGAATTTTACATCATTTTTATTGGTGGAGGAAATTTTTCATAAGATAAAGAGATACAACTTTGTTAATTAACTATAGTCTTCTGTTGAATGATAATAAATTGTAAGACTTAAAAATGATGAACAAGAAGTGTTAGTTCACCATCCTTTATATCGTAATACAGTGGAGCTCAAGGAGAGTATGCAGGTCTTCGAGCCATCATGTCTTACCTGGATGCACGTGGTGAGGGACACCGCAATGTGTGCCTGATTCCAACTTCAGCCCATGGTACCAATCCTGCATCAGCACAGATGGCAGGAATGAAAGTAGAAGCTGTGAATGTTGACAAGGAAGGGTCCATTGATTTCAGACATCTTACTGCCAAGGTTTGCATTTTTTCTTGAGTTCTTGATCTACTCAGCTGTCAGTCACTCATGACTATTCCATGTCAAGCCTTTTTAAAAGTATGGAAATAGATATATTTTTCAAGTGTACTTGTATGAATTGAGCTATCTTTTTTTAATTCTTTATTACAATTTCATTATATAGATATATGATTCAGTAGGGTAAGGCATTTAACCATATTTATATAACTGAATTATTGTTTTGCTTTATTCCAGATTGAGAAACATCGTAAGAACTTGGCATGCCTGATGATCACATATCCTTCTACCAATGGTGTATTTGAAGACACTGTAAAAGATGTTTGCCAAATGGTTCATGATGCTGGTGGTCAGGTATGTCATGATTCTTGCCTTAACAACTTTTTTTCTGAATATATGAGTTATCTTGATTATTTATCCAAGATGTAAGGTAGTATAGCTTGAGGTAGAAAAATACAATGTGACTGTTTTACTCTGCACAGCTATAGCAATGTTAAGTGAGACTATATGGACTATATGTAGCTTTTCTTCCATTTTGAAAAGCAGGGAAGAGAAGATAATATTCTTTAGTTTCAATTAGGATTTGACATATTTTCATGACAACAGGTGTACTTGGATGGAGCAAACATGAATGCCCAGGTGGGTCTGTGTCGGCCAGGAGATATTGGAGGAGATGTATCCCATCTTAATTTGCACAAGACCTTCTGCATCCCTCATGGTGGAGGAGGACCTGGCATGGGACCTATTGGAGTGTGAGTTTTATTGAAATTTTTCCTTTGAGTGTTTGCCTTTTTTCATATTTTAATGATTTTTTTTTTCTTTTCTTTTTTTAATCTTCTCTTGTATTATCTTCAGTTTCCTCTTCTACCCATTCATATTGTTATTCTTTGTGTTCTTATCCAAGTATTACATCTGGGTAAGACACAGTATTGTATATGCTGTTTCTATTGATATATTATGCAGATGTTGTATGCTGCATGTTTTGTATATATAGTTGTTGCTATGACACTTAAACGGAATCCTATGTGTTATTCATGAAACATATGTGAAAGGTTATTCCTTTTGATTCATAGGAAGGCCCACCTGGTTCCATACTTGCCAAGTCACCCCATCGTTGACCCAATGGCCTTAATGAAGAAGAAAGCTCGCAGTTTTGGCGTTGTGTCTGCAGCTCCCTACGGTTCAGCTGCTATTCTTCCAATCTCTTGGGCCTATGTCAAGGTGGGAGTAGTCGGTTTTATTCTCAGTGTTTCTGGAAAACATGAAATTTGTTAAGGTAATTTTTGAGAGGAGAGACAATACACTTTTTGGTGTAGACAAGGCTTTACTGTTTATATACATGATTGGTTGCATTTGTAATCAGAAATTCTTTATAGCCACATATTTTACTGTCCTATAAGCTGCTGATGAAGGGAAAAAAAAAAAATATTATATAGAAAAAAATGTGCACTAAAACTGTAAGAGAAGTTAGTTGGAAATGTTGGTAGAAAATATATTACTGGAGTATTTATGTGCTTATAATTTTTATTTCTGTTTCTGAGCAGATGATGGGTCCAAAGGGATTGAGGAAGGCTACTCAGGTTGCTATCTTGAATGCTAACTACATGGCAAATCGCCTCAAAAATACTACAAGGTAAGAGTATATTCAGCATTTTGATTTGTTCATTTTTCTCAGATGTATAAGCATAGATTGGTATGACAAGTGTGGTTATTGAGCTTTCTGATTTAAATGTTCCTTTATAATTATAGATGGGTATTACAATGTTGTTATTCAAGAATACTTTGTATAAGAGTACATTTAGTTTTCAGTTTTATGTGTTGTTTAGTGGTGTTGTTATTCAAGAATACTTTGTATAAGAGTACATTTAGTTTTCAGTTTTATGTGTTTGTTTATGTGTATAATTATAGATGGGTATTATCACATCATTAAATATATATACAGTACTGATGTGGTTTGTTTTGTAGGTGCTGTACACTGGAAATTGTGGATTAGTTGCTCATGAATTCATCCTTGATATGCGAGAGTTTAAGAAGACAGCCGGAATTGAAGCTACAGACATTGCAAAGCGCCTGCAGGACTATGGTAATGAATTGCAAAATTGAGAAAACTACTTATCCATGCTGTATTTTATAAATGCATTATTCTGATTTTAATGGCTAGTCTTACTTTCCTTACCATCTTATTTTCATTTTTATTTATTTATTTGTCATTACCCAGGTTTCCATGCACCGACAATGTCCTGGCCCGTCGCTGGTAGTTTGATGGTAGAACCAACGGAATCTGAAGACAAAGCTGAGTTGGATCGTTTCTGTGACGCACTGATCTGTGAGTCAATACTTGAATAGTTCTTTATCAAAAAAAAAAAAAAATATTATATAGAAAAAAATGTGCACTAAAACTGTAAGAGAAGTTAGTTGGAAATGTTGGTAGAAAATATATTACTGGAGTATTTATGTGCTTATAATTTTTATTTCTGTTTCTGAGCAGATGATGGGTCCAAAGGGATTGAGGAAGGCTACTCAGGTTGCTATCTTGAATGCTAACTACATGGCAAATCGCCTCAAAAAATACTACAAGGTAAGAGTATATTCAGCATTTTGATTTGTTCATTTTTCTCAGATGTATAAGAATACTTTGTATAAGAGTACATTTAGTTTTCAGTTTTATGTGTTTGTTTATGTGTATAATTATAGATGGGTATTATCACATCATTAAATATATATACAGTACTGATGTGGTTTGTTTTGTAGGTGCTGTACACTGGAAATTGTGGATTAGTTGCTCATGAATTCATCCTTGATATGCGAGAGTTTAAGAAGACAGCCGGAATTGAAGCTACAGACATTGCAAAGCGCCTGCAGGACTATGGTAATGAATTGCAAAATTGAAAAAACTACTTATCCATGCTGTATTTTTATAAATGCATATTCTGATTTTAATGGCTAGTCTTACTTTCCTTACCATCTTATTTTCATTTTTATTTATTTATTTGTCATTACCCAGGTTTTCCATGCACCGACAATGTCCTGGCCCGTCGCTGGTAGTTTGATGGTAGAACCAACGGAATCTGAAGACAAAGCTGAGTTGGATCGTTTCTGTGACGCACTGATCTGTGAGTCAATACTTGAATAGTTCTTTATCAAAAAAAAAAAAAAATATTATATAGAAAAAAATGTGCACTAAAACTGTAAGAGAAGTTAGTTGGAAATGTTGGTAGAAAATATATTACTGGAGTATTTATGTGCTTATAATTTTTATTTCTGTTTCTGAGCAGATGATGGGTCCAAAGGGATTGAGGAAGGCTACTCAGGTTGCTATCTTGAATGCTAACTACATGGCAAATCGCCTCAAAAAATACTACAAGGTAAGAGTATATTCAGCATTTTGATTTGTTCATTTTTCTCAGATGTATAAGCATAGATTGGTATGACAAGTGTGGTTATTGAGCTTTCTGATTTAAATGTTCCTTTATAATTATAGATGGGTATTATCACATCATTAAATATATATACAGTACTGATGTGGTTTGTTTTGTAGGTGCTGTACACTGGAAATTGTGGATTAGTTGCTCATGAATTCATCCTTGATATGCGAGAGTTTAAGAAGACAGCCGGAATTGAAGCTACAGACATTGCAAAGCGCCTGCAGGACTATGGTAATGAATTGCAAAATTGAGAAAACTACTTATCCATGCTGTATTTTATAAATGCATTATTCTGATTTTAATGGCTAGTCTTACTTTCCTTACCATCTTATTTTCATTTTTATTTATTTATTTGTCATTACCCAGGTTTCCATGCACCGACAATGTCCTGGCCCGTCGCTGGTAGTTTGATGGTAGAACCAACGGAATCTGAAGACAAAGCTGAGTTGGATCGTTTCTGTGACGCACTGATCTGTGAGTCAATACTTGAATAGTTCTTTATCAAAAAAAAAAAAAAATATTATATAGAAAAAAATGTGCACTAAAACTGTAAGAGAAGTTAGTTGGAAATGTTGGTAGAAAATATATTACTGGAGTATTTATGTGCTTATAATTTTTATTTCTGTTTCTGAGCAGATGATGGGTCCAAAGGGATTGAGGAAGGCTACTCAGGTTGCTATCTTGAATGCTAACTACATGGCAAATCGCCTCAAAAAATACTACAAGGTAAGAGTATATTCAGCATTTTGATTTGTTCATTTTTCTCAGATGTATAAGCATAGATTGGTATGACAAGTGTGGTTATTGAGCTTTCTGATTTAAATGTTCCTTTATAATTATAGATGGGTATTATCACATCATTAAATATATATACAGTACTGATGTGGTTTGTTTTGTAGGTGCTGTACACTGGAAATTGTGGATTAGTTGCTCATGAATTCATCCTTGATATGCGAGAGTTTAAGAAGACAGCCGGAATTGAAGCTACAGACATTGCAAAGCGCCTGCAGGACTATGGTAATGAATTGCAAAATTGAGAAAACTACTTATCCATGCTGTATTTTATAAATGCATTATTCTGATTTTAATGGCTAGTCTTACTTTCCTTACCATCTTATTTTCATTTTTATTTATTTATTTGTCATTACCCAGGTTTCCATGCACCGACAATGTCCTGGCAAGTCTCTGGATTCCTTGAACAATTCACGACTAGAAAAGTGATAGACATATTCAGACTCGAAGTATCATCTGTAAAAAAAAGGCTATTATTAAGATTTTTTATACACCATGTCTAATAAGTTTGTAGTAAATAAATTGAACCTCCTTTTGATAAATAGATTGACATATATTTTCCCTGTCAGTAATTAATTTGTTAATATCTGTGTTCTTAACTTCATAACAAGGTGTATATGACTATTTACATTCATTGGTATGGACTGGATTCACTACAGTGTGGTGATATTTTCCTATTTTTAATAAAAGTAGAATGAATGTACTGTGTATCATTGTCAGTTTAGAAATTGGTATTGCCATGTCCACAAAGACTATCAGTTTTTAATACAATGGTCCTTGTTTGGCTGTCTGTAAGAAAGTGCTATTATTTTAGATTCTTTTTTTCATAAGCCATGTATGGTCACATGCAAATGTTGCTTTGTGAATAAGACTTTGAAACTTGCCTAACCTAAACAGCAAGGATCACATAAGGTGAAACATGTATGACAAGAGCTTTGGTGGTGACTGCACTTTTCATTCCAATGGGATAGTGATGTATCATTTTGTGAAGGTGTAACAAGATATGAAAGTGGGCATACATTGATGAACTCTGCTGTGATAGATTTTGCACTGGAAAAAGTGGATTTTATATTGCAAATCCTCCAGCCTCAAACATTTCATAAAATGTAACCCAGAATTACCTTTAGAAATCTGGCAAGTTTCTGGATTCCCTGAACAATTCACGACTAGAAAAGTGATAGACATATTCAGACTCGAAGTATCATCTGTAAAAAAAAGGCTATTATTAAGATTTTTTATACACCATGTCTAATAAGTTTGTAGTAAATAAATTGAACCTCCTTTTGATAAATAGATTGACATATATTTTCCCTGTCAGTAATTAATTTGTTAATATCTGTGTTCTTAACTTCATAACAAGGTGTATATGACTATTTACATTCATTGGTATGGACTGGATTCACTACAGTGTGGTGATATTTTCCTATTTTTAATAAAAGTAGAATGAATGTACTGTGTATCATTGTCAGTTTAGAAATTGGTATTGCCATGTCCACAAAGACTATCAGTTTTTAATACAATGGTCCTTGTTTGGCTGTCTGTAAGAAAGTGCTATTATTTTAGATTCTTTTTTTCATAAGCCATGTATGGTCACATGCAAATGTTGCTTTGTGAATAAGACTTTGAAACTTGCCTAACCTAAACAGCAAGGATCACATTAGGTGTTTGATATAGTACTTGAAACATGTATGACAAGAGCTTTGGTGGTGACTGCACTTTTCATTCCAATGGGATAGTAATGTATCATTTTGTGAAGGTGTAACAAGATATGAAAGTGGGCATACATTGATGAACTCTGCTGTGATAGATTTTGCACTGGAAAAAGTGAATTTTATATTGCAAATCCTCCAGCCTCAAACATTTCATAAAATGTAACCCAGAATTACCTTTAGAAATCTGGCAAGTCTCTGGATTCCTTGAACAATTCACGACTAGAAAAGTGATAGACATATTCAGACTCGAAGTATCATCTGTAAAAAAAAGAATGACATATTGAAGGAAAGCTCAGGCTTTCTCTGACATTAAGTTCTGACTTAAAGTTATCATCACTGTACCTTAATTTCTAGCATGTGGCAGATTCTAAATAATGTAAATCCATTATACTACAAAATGATTTCAACCAACAACCAATATTGCATAATAACATTAGAATGCCAGTAGTTAGTGTGCATCTCATGATCATTCTCTGTACAATGACAGTGACATTCAGTGTTAAAAAAGTCTTCACAGCTTTAGTTGTGCTTCTGTGTATTTGATGATCACAAAAAAAGGATGGCTTGAAAAAGTGAATCATTTGTTTAAAGAGATTTCACCTCTTTAAAGGTGAGTGCACGGTCTTCTTAGTTAATGTCTTAGCAATGTTTGCACTTGCAACCACAAGGTCCTTATTGTAAGAAATCATGTATGCAGTAATATCTTTACTACTGCGATTCAAAATATTGTAATAATGATATCACATTGTTCCGACCAAACTTTAAAGAACGGTGTGTAACTGATAACTAAAAGGTCGCACCTGGATATTGTCCACAGTACCCAGATAAAGTGTTTACAAATTGTGAATTAGAATGCATAAAGCAACTTCGGTAACTCCGAGGATATCCACCAGAACCAAAAGCCAAATACGAGAAACAATGATGTGTATTGGATTAAAGGTTTATTATATGACCATTAAACTTTCTTCACAAAGCACTAGCGTATACCCAAGAAATGGAATCTACTGAAAGGAATCGATTGAAGTCATTAAAGCAAGAATCACCGTAACATATATACCAGGACACTCAAAAGATGCACATTTTTCATTAACCCATTGCCGCCGGGGATGGCATGGACGTACATGCCATGTCCATTTTGAGTCGACTTGTTCGATTGTTTTTACACATAGATGGCTACACTTGTACTAAGTATCCAATGAGCCAATTACGAGAACTGCCTGTCTCGCCCGTTCACCCTTTTCATCGATTTACGAAAACATTTAACGTTATCCTAATGTGCTGTTAAAAATAACACCATCTTTATTTATAGCGCTAGTAAAAATACGTTTTTTCCCGCCAATTCAAGGAAAGGTGAAATCAGGACTAGCAGAGCCATTTATGGACAGAGATATTTCACAAAAATATAAAAAATGAGTACAGTATTCTCCCCATTTTTTGTTCATTTTCCCCGGCGGCAATGGGTTAAAAAATAAAAAAGGAAAACGAAGTATATATGTAACTCTAAAACTGGATCAATTATGACAAATGATAATCGAACTTTATTTTTTTCCGGGTGTATTCATCAGCTATTTTATCTTGTGTATATCCTCAGCAGAATCTACTTACTCGTAGCGATAGTCATATAATATCGCTAACTTTGGTGCTGTTCATTCCACCTACTCTAAACAACAGATCCTTAAGAGTTATTTCAGACTTACGATTTACTTCAAGAAACCTCTTCAAGCAAAATGCAAAAAAAGGACAAAGTCGAGAGAGATTTTCTCACGCATTGGAAAAATAAGGCTTTCACTATATCGATGTCGAGTAGATTTCATGTATTCTGGATGTGACTCGCCGTGGTGCGTTTTTTCGCAAATCATCAATAACAATCATACAAAAGCCATTACAAGGTATATAATCCACACATCTCCAAATAGAACTTATGTTTAAACTGAAGAGGCAGAAACCGTACAGATGTTTATATATATAAACATATAGTTATTTAACTGTTAATCAGTCACTACGTATCTCTCTCTCTCTCTCGCAAATTTCAATTATATTCTCTCTCTCTCTCTCTCTCTCTAGCTAGAATTTCACAAAGCGCAATAGTAGTAGTAGTCTCTCTCTCTCTCTCTCTCTCTCTCTCTCTCTCTCTCTCTCTCTCTCTCTCTCTCTCTCTCTCTCTCTCTCTCTCTCTCTCTCTCTCTCTCTTTCTGTGTGTGCGTGCGTGCGTATGTGTGTGTGTGTGTGTGTGTGTGTGTGTGTGTGTGTGTGTGTGTGTGTGTGTGTGTGTGTGTGTGTGTGTGTGTGTGTGTGTGTGTGTGTGTGCGCGTGCGCGTGTATGTGTGTGTGTAAATATGCACATATGCATATATCCACTGCTCTGAAGGATCATACGGAAAGCCGAAGAAATGACGGTATATAAGAATTCCATCCACTTACTTGTAAATGACTGTTATTTTTATACACCTTTATATCAATGACGCCAACCTAATTCAAGGGATTATAGGTATAACAACGGTACATATGTTGCGTGCGTGCGTAACGTATGGTAAAAGTCGAGCTTGTTTACAGGCAAATACAGTACGTGGATTTTGTTGTGCATGCTGTGTGTCTAGGGATGTGAGAGTCTGTGCGTGTGCTTCGTGATGGATTTACGTCTGTTTATAGAAGACGGCCATGACAAAAGAAGATCGGATTACCATATGG